AATAAAAAATATAAATAGAAACTAAATAAAAACATTTGAACAAGTACGAGAAAATATAAAAAAAAGATAGACAAAAAAGATAGTCTTAGATCACGTGTTCTCTTAAATTTATTCACGAAAGATAATAATAATTCAGAAAAAATATTTTTAATTCTTGCTCGTAGTATAACTGTAAAACTAGTGCAACCTCTTTCATGAGCATGTTAAGCCATGGATTTATTGGTACTTATGTCATTCCTGTCTCAAAATAAACAAACAACCCCTCAAGTTTTAAGATTATATTTATGTGCAAAATTCTATCACCATGATCCTAATCTACTATAGTCGTTTAAGCCGTGAAATTCTCTAGTTCTACAATCAATTATCTTCTATCGGTCTCATATCAATCACATAAGTAATGCTCACCTACCCGCAGTAGGCACACGTTAATATGTCCACCGCTTATGTGACATGCACACATTGGTGATATGAATATGTTCAAAAAAATACATCACCGATAGGTGCATGCCACATAAACGGTGGACATATTAACATGTGCCCACCGTGGGTAGGTGAACATTATATGCTCAATCACATATGTACATAAATAATGGTCTTCTATACATATGCTAACAATATAATAATAATAAAAAATGATTCACAAACGAATAATAATGAGTGAAGAAATTAATATCAAATCATAAATAATAGCCAAATACTAATAACCCTAAGTTGGTTCATCAAATACTTTTGCTATTTGTAAATGTATGATGTAGTTATAACAAGTGGAGAACAATGTCATATTGTACAGAGATTGTAGTTAAATTAAAAATAAATATTAAACTATTAACACTAAAATATTATCTAAACTATCAAAATTGAGTGATGATTATAAACAAAGAAATTATTTATTTAAGAAATAAAAGCTTGCGAGAAAACAGAATTAAGCAAGAATAATGATATGTATTGTAGGTTATGCTTTACTTGAAATTGATTCATGAAATGTTCAAATTCAATCAAACATACATTTAGTTCTACCAATTGTTGGAATAATCATTAAAATAACGAACCTTTCTCTAGAGATAGTTAAATTATTGATTAATTTCTAGATATCTTCTTTGGCCTAAAGATGAACAATTAACTTCTTGATCGATGAGGCATGGGCGAGGGTGTTTGAGGTTACGACCGTCACACACCTTCTTCGAATTGAGCTTCTCTCCTCATCCGATATAGATTATCAAGCACTTTCTGTCGCTCTTCTTTTTCCGGTTACAAAACATGTGGATTCACCACCACACGTTCTATGATACTGTTAGGGATTCTTGGCTGCAACCAACTGGGCTCTTCGAGATGCACAACCTGGATGCCAAGCTCGAGAGGCTGCAATGCAGGTTGAAATAGTGGATTTGTGATGTTTTTTGAGACCTTTCCCAGAGCCTTTCTGCACCTCAGTGTGCGTAGGCTGACACTGAGCGAGCCTATGATCTGGACTCCTCTATGGAGAATAGAACTGCGATGTGCCGCTGTCACGCTGAGTACCAACTGCAAAGTGCCCTTACTACGTTTTTATCAGTTGGGCTTATAATATGGCCCAACACAATATTGCCTTTTAAATTCATAATGGCTACTATGACAAGTACCAAATAAGCTGGATGATTAAGCTTGACACACACTTCTTACGGGGGTTCGTCTCATTGCATAGTCTGTTATCCATTTACGTCCGCTTTTTGTTAATTTTGCCTCTGATAATTAATTTGGTTTCATTTCCTATACAAAAAAAAAAAAATATAACAGAGTTGATTGCAAACATGTTCGACACTATTTGTTTGATCGATAAATTCGATTAGCTATTTGAATTTGACTTGTTCAAATATATAAGCGACTCGAGATTCTCACAAGTCGAACTGAAACATGTTATCATATAATTCGGTTCTAGTCATTGCTAATACCGGTTCCGGATCGAAACCGTCGGTCCTGGGTTGAGGGTTAGAGGGTCTTGAACCAGCTCGACCATATACACGGGCCGGTTCATTGAACCACCGATCCTTGGATGCCCACTCCATTAAAAAAAAAAAAAAAAGGAAAAAGTAAAAAAAATATTTCATACATGTCAAAATCACATGCCGGTTCAAGACCCTTCGTCAACAGGCCGATTGTGTGTTGGTTCGGGCTGAACCGGCACTTTGGGTCGGCTCATAGTCATGTCTATTCAGTTCGAATAATAGCTACAATATTGGTTTTTTTTTTTTTTTT